TTTAAGTGTATTAAAAGCCTAAAATTCTGTATAATTAATGAGCATCAGACCCACGTGACCACAGAGCTAGCTCCGGGGAAAGGCCTCAGTAGAGCCTCGGTCTGGCCTGGAAACTGTTCCGGGATTTTGAGTCTCACCTTAGACCATTAGTTGTAGCATTTGTGCGTTCTTTTTTGGATATTATTTGTGCAATTGTTGGACAAAATGACTTGCTGTGGCATTAATTGCACTAATAGAGCGTCCAAGGAGTCTCCATTTTTTTCGGTAAATAAAATTATATTTATGTATTTTAGGTCACTGCCGAGCTGAGCTTAGATTTTAACATGTACTGTTTAACCATGACATTTAAATGCAATAGGGTAAAACCCAGTGCATTTAACATAATGCTGCACTTTAGAAAATGGGTTGAAATATAACATGTTGGTGGAACTGGGTTCCCACTATCGGTGTGGTCCCCTCCCCGCAGCTCGGCGCATCTCTGATCGCAGCGGCTCCTGTCTGCTGCGCGGGCTGCCGGCTTTCAGCAGCTTTCGGGAGACCTCTGTGTTCCACCCGGTTTTACCCAGCGGTCAGCCCGGCGTATCTCTGACTCAGAAGCTCTGGTGTTGTGCACAGTTAACTCCGGTTGTAGCTGGGTTGCTACCTCTGTTAGCTTAACTCCCACCTCCGCATTAGCTTTGGGTTAGCTTGTAGCTACATTAGCTTCAGTTTGATGGGTGTTGTCACTTAATCCCAGCCTTACAGCCCCACCCTCAACTCCACCTCTCTTCCCTTTTGTGGAATTGTCTGGGCTTGACAGAATCTGTGACACGGTCAAAATGGCGGTGGTGGCCACCTCCCATTTTACCTCAAAAACGTGTTGTTGGAGCCTATGGAAACCCATTGTCCATATATATATATATACATATATATATACATATATGTATATATATATATATATATATATATATACATATATATATATATATATATATATATATATACATATATATATATACATATATGTATGTATGTATGTGTATATATATATGTATATGTATATATATATATATATATGTGTGTGTGTGTGTATATATGTATATATGTATATATTTGTGTATATATGTATATATGTATATATTTGTGTATATATATATATATATGTATATATGCTAAAAAAAACATCTCTTCTTCCAAATCATGTGGAGAACTACCGACCTATCTCTCTCCTCCCTTTTTTGTCCAAAATCATTGAAAGGGTGGCTTTCAAGCAGATTACAGAATACCTCTCACAAAACTGTCTGCTTGACCCTTACCAATCTGGGTTCAAAAAGGGCCACTCCACTGAAACTGCTCTGTTAGCAGTGACTGAATCCTTAAAAGAAGCTAGAGTGACTGCCAAATCCTCAGCGCTTATCCTGCTCGACTTATCGGCTGCATTTGACACTGTCAACCATGGCTTCCTTTTGTCCACACTCTCTAGCATGGGCATCACAGAGAAAGCACACGCCTGGTTTGAATCTTATCTCACAGGACGATCATTCAGCGTATCTTGGCTTGGACAGTCCTCTACCGTGCACCACCTTGCCACAGGAGTCCCCCAGGGCTCTGTACTAGGACCTCTTCTCTTTGCCATATACACCACCTCACTGGGTGAGATCATTCGATCACATGGCTTCTCCTACCACTGCTATGCAGACGACACCCAACTCTATCTGTCATTTCCACCGGACGACCACACTGTCTCTGCACGAATATCAGACTGTCTCTCTGACATCTCAAAATGGATGAAATCCCACCATCTCCAACTCAACCTCTCTAAAACTGAACTGCTTGTCATCCCAGCAAAACCATCCATACAACACAATATCTCAGTCCAGAATGACTTCCTATCTCTGGCTCCTTCAAAGGCAGTTGGAAATCTGAGTGTTGTGATTGATGAACACCTGAGCTTTAAAGATCATGTTGCCTCTGTTGCTCGTTCATGCCGCTTTGCGCTGTACAACATACGAAAGATCAGACCATACCTAACACAACATGCCACCCAGCTCCTGGTGCAATCTACTGTCATCTCCCGCCTCGACTACTGCAATGCTCTTCTAACTGGTCTTCCAGGCTGTACTGTGAGACCTCTTCAAATGGTCCAGAGCACAGCGGCGCATCTGGTCTTCAATCAGCCTAAAAGAGCACACATCACCCCTCTGTTCATTGAGCTCCACTGGCTACCGCTAGCAGCACGCATCAAATTCAAATTGCTAACACTAGCATACAAGGTCCGAGACGGTACGGCTCCCATCTACCTGAATCCTCTTGCAAAGGCTTACGTCTCGGCCCGGCCGCTCCGATCATCACAGGATTGTCGGCTAGCAGTGCCTACACCACGCTCAGGACAATCCAGACTCTTCTCATGCATCGTTCCACAAATGTGGAATGACCTTCCTAACACTACCAGAACTGCGGCTTCCTTTTCTATTTTCAAGAAACTCCTGAAGACCCTGCTCTTCAGAGAGCATCTTCTTAA